GACCTGCTGGGCTCCGGCGATCCTTCCGCCTCAGCCTTCCAAGTAGCTGGAACTACAGGCATGCGCTACCATGCCTGGCTAATTTTTTTGATTTTATTTTTATTGTAGAGATGAGGTCTCGCCAAATTGCCCAGGCGGGTCTCGAACCCGCGGGCTCAGGCAATCCACTAACCTCAGCCTCCCAAAGCGCTGGGATTACAGACTGAGCAACCATCCCCGGCCATAGTTGGTTTAATGATTCTGTTGTAGGCTTCCTGTAGAGAATTCCTTGGGGAACTGGATATGCTCTTGTGCCTGTCATTTTTAGGCACTGAAATTCTTAAAGGACCTCTTAACTCTTCCAAATCACTTTAGGAAACTCTTTAGTGTGTGGACCCTAGAGACTGCAAGGCCATTTAGGACCTGAGGAAATTATTTCTTCCTGTGTTCTCATTAACCTTCAATAACTATAGCCTCAGACAATTGAATGAATAGACTCCTTGGAATAAAAGTATTGTGCATGGTGCTCACCACCAAGTAGGGACTCAGTAATTATTTGTTGAGTGTATATCATCTTGGGGTGACTTTCATGTTCCTTTTATTAATTTTGGTTATATGTTTCTGGTAGCACTTAATTTAATTACTAGTGCATGAAATAATTTTAAATGTAATGTTAACTAACTTCTCACAAATATATTCTGTGAGATGGAGAAGTACATTAACAATTTTAGGAATTAAAGCTCAATTGAAAATGTTGACAATATCCCCTCATGACATGCATAAAATGAGTGTAGCTGACTGATCACCCTTGAGTTGTACTTTGCCCCATTTGAATTTTTTTTAATAGCTACTATAACATTTTGGGGAGGGATATACATGTATACATAGGAGTATGCAAATATACATACATATGTACACAACCAGTTATGCTTGTGTATGCATAGACTGAATCTGGAGAAATACTAAGAAACTGTTAAGAGTAGTTGCTTCAGGAGTCAAACTGGGGGAACTGGTTCTGCACTTGTTATTTTGGTATAATAGTGTATATATATATATATATATATATTTAACTCATTTTTTATTGTGCTCAAATACACACAACATAAAATTTACCATTAGTGACTTCTAGTACAAATTCACAATGTATATTTAGTACATCCATGGTGTTGTGCAACTATCACCACTATCTAATTTCCAGAACATTTTCCTCACCCCAAAAGGCAGCTCTATGCACATTAAGCAACCACTCTCCATTTTCTCCTCTCACAGTCCCTGGCAACTACTAATCTGTTTTCTCTTCCTTTGTACCTCTCCTGTATATTTCATATAATGGAATCATACAATATGTAGCTTTTGTGTCACTAAGCATAATGTTTTCATGGTGTAGCCATAGTAGCATGTGTCAGTATATTATTCATTTTTATGGCTGAGTAATATTTCATGGTATGGATATATTTTATTTATCCATTTATAAGTTGGGCATTGGGTTGTACCTTTTCACTTTTGTGAGTAGTGCTGCTATGAATATTTATGCACAGGTTTTTTTGTTTTTGTTTTTATTTTTTTTTAATTGGAGTCTTACTCTGTCACCCAGACTATAGTGCAATGGCCGCTCCCAGCCACCGCAGCCTCGACCTGCTGGGCTCCGGCGATCCTTCTGCCTCAGCCTTCCAAGTAGCTGGAACTACAGGCACATGCTACCACGCCCGGCTAATTTTTGATTTATTGTAGAGATGAGGTCTCACCAAGTTGCCCAGGTGGGTCTCGAACCCGCGGGCTCAGGCAGTCCACTCACCTCAGCCTCCCAAAGTGTGGGATTACAGGCTGAGCCACCGAGCCCAGCTATGCACAGATTTTTAAAAAATACTTCTTTTCAATTCTTTTGAGTATACACCCAAAAGTGAAATTGCTGGGTTATGTGGCAATTCTATATTTAACGCATTAAGCAATTAATAGTACACTTTTGAAGATCTTTATTAACAGCACATATAGATCTAAATAGCTCTATTTCTTTTTTTTTTTTTTTTTTTTTGAGTTGGAGTCTCACTCTGTCGCCCAGACTGTAGTGCAGTGGCCGCTCCTGGCCACCACAGCCTCAACCTGCTGGGCTCCAGTTGATCCTTCCGCCTCAGCCTTCCGAGTAGCCGGAACTACAGGCGCGCGCTACCACACCCGGCTAATTTTTTGATTTATTGTAGAGATGAGGTCTTGCCTACCCAGGTGGGTCTCGAACCCGCGGGCTCAGGCAATCCACTCACCTCAGCCTCCCAAAGGCGTGGGATTACAGGCTGAGCCACCGAGCCCGGCTAATAGCTCTATTTCTTTGAACAACTTCATAATATTTTATTATATGGATGATTTTTATTTAACCAGTCCCCTATTGATAGACATTTAGGTTATTTTGGGATTTTTTTGGTGATTACAAATAATTCTGTGGAGAACAATGTAATGCAAAAATCTTCACGTACTTCTCCAAGTATAACTGGTGGGATAAAGTCAAATCACTGGGTCAAAAGGTATATGTTTTTAAAATGTATAGTATTAAATTGTCCCCAAAAAGGTTTCACCAATTTATACTCTTACTAACAGTATATGAGGGTTCCTGTTTCCCTTCTCTTGTTTACTCTTTTATTCTATATTAAATATAGCAAATGGAATAATTGACCTGTGATATTGTTTTGAGCATGTCATTTGCTGGCTGAAGACATATTATTATGCTTATTTCTTATTGATTAATAATAGCTATCATTTTTTAGG